TTTACGTATTATTGGTACGTACACACATGAATCCATGTGCTTGTGCACACAAAGAAGAGTCTAGAAAGGCAGATATTCCAGCTTGCTTATAAGTCCCTCTAAGAGCTCCCAGATCCTAACCGTGTCAGCCATTTATTTCCTTTGAATTTCCAGGGGGAAAAAAAATACTGTCTCTCATCGTTTCTCCTTAAGAGAGTCCAGCAGCTGTCTTCAGTAGCTGTAAGGTGTCTACTTGGTCTAGGCCAAGATGCCAGAGAAAAATGGATCCCAGCATCAGAAAAAAAGGCAGGTTCCTGGCAGACCACAGTCTGATCCCTTTTGCCAGCTAGACCTCATACCCACCAGCCCAAGACCCCCGTACTGCCCCTCACCCAGAGGGCTTCCACGAGCTTGTTGCCCCAGGGGTCCACACTGCCCTCAGCCCAGCTTTCCACACCAACAGTCCACCCAGGCGGCCACACTGCCAAAGGAGATGGAGGTGGGGGTGGGAAGGGAAGAGGGAAGGAAAGGGAAGCTCCTGGAGTCACTCCTACCACACTGTGTGCACCCTTCCATCCCCGTGTTCAAAGTCTGCTGGGGCCTAGGGAGATCTGTGAGAGAGAGACAGAGAGAGAGAGAGAGAAAGAAAATCTGTGTGTGCCTGTGTACACATGTGTGTACGTGCCTGTGTACACATGTGTGCCTGTGTGTACACACACGTGTCCATGCATCTCTCCCTCTGTCACTGGCTTGCCCATGCGCCTGCCTGCACTTTCTGCTTCAGGAGCCGTTTGGCAGGCTCTGGGAGGCTGTTGGATGGAATCCAGCTCTCCCTGGGAGGAAAGCATAAACTTCATAAACTACATTTACTTTAATGCAGGTTCCTGGGGCAGCTTTCCTCAGGCTTTTCTTCCCTCCCTTAGTCTGCTCTGTCTCGATCACATTTTATCCCAGCCCCTATGTGCACCCAGACCACACACATGCGCGCGCGCACACACACACACACACACACCCTATAGCCAGTACTCCTGAAAAAGGTGAAGCCTGGGGCAGGAGGGGAATGGGCAAGGTGTACAAGCTCTTTTTAAAGGAGAAAGCCTCAGCCGACCCTGGAAAGGCCCCTGTGAGATGCCCACGCGCTTATCTCTGGGTGGACATGAGCACAAGGGGTGCTGCTGTGAGGCAGGTGCCTCAGGGAGGGAGGGATGCTGACATTTCCTGGGGATGGCCAAATTAGAAGACACCTGGAGGCTGGGCCACAGGGCTCCAAGAAAGGGAGGGAGAGAAGGCGAGGCCTCCAGGAAGGTTGAGGTTTGTGAGGCCTCCCTTGTCTAGAGCTGTCAAGGTCAGCAGGTTCGGGTTCACTGAAGGGTCAGGATGGTTTGAATTACTGGCTCTGCTGCAACTCAGCTCTGAAGCTCGCACTGTCTCCCAGCCCTCCCCCAACCCTCTCCCAACCCTCCTTGCCTTTCCACCCCCACGGGGCAGAATGGGGAGGGTCCTGGAAAGCCCTCCAGCCACCGTGGCCCTGAGGAAGGCAGGCAGGGGAAGGGTCCTTCCCTGGGCTCCAGGGCTCCTTGTGCCGCCACCACGGTCAGGGAGGCTGCTGGGACCCAGTCCTCTGGTAGGCAGCAAACCTGGGGCTCCCCAGCCTACCTTCTCTCCAAACCCTTTTCCTGAGGGGTCCCCCATGCCCCTGCCCTTCTCAGCTGCCTGCTGGCCTGCAGAGGAGGAGGTGCCCAGGGAGGCCAGTTCACAAGCAGCAGCAGGGCCTGGGGGACAGCCTCAGAGCCTAGCTCCTCCCCCCTATCCACCGCCTGCACTTGGGGGAGAAGGGCAGCGCTGAGGCAGCGGATTTCTCGCTTGGTGCCCTTGCTGGGTGGGGGAAGGAGAACGATGCCTACCTGCAGGGCTGGAAGGTAGCTGCCAAGTGGAAGACTAGGATTTGGAGACATAGTGTGACAAGACGGGTGTGAACACAGGTTCACAGGTGTGTATGGACGTGGGGTGGGGAGGAAGACCTGAGGCCTTTGCTGAGAAAGTTGTAACACTGTGCTTCACCCACCCCAATTTCCAGTGGCAGAGGGAGAAACACGGCCCCTTCTACTGCAAATCTGTACGTTCTTTCCTGGGCTATGGGCTATCTAGTCTGACTTTTGGGCACTTTGTGAAAAAAAAAACCAAACACCTCTTTTGTGCTAAATCACAACCTATTTCTTCATACAAGCAAATATAACTCTTTATCCACAACATCACAAACTGGCTGGAAACCTGAGGTGGTTAATGATTTATCTGTAATCTCTGGTATAAACACAGGGATTTATGTATAAATTCATGTACCCATGTCAGCTACACACCGCCATGGCTAAACCCTGGTCCTTTCCCACAGGAAAAAAAGTACATCCACATGTGCACAGGGCCCAAAGTAAAAGTCTTAATAAAACATTGACATTAACCTACACCTACCTCTGCATAATGACATGTCAGTGTTTAACAGGCTCACTGCCAACATTGCCCAGAGTTTGGCTAAAATATGCGATCCAACTAAGATAGAAAAATTCTCCCCTCAGTATGAACGGTCTGATTTCCCCGGTTACTGGGAAGATGTAATCGTAACATTGAATGTGTGTTCATAAGTCGACTTTTTTGGTGTCTTAGTAAATGCTGACCTTTGAACCTCAGCTCTTCCTTGGACTGGACATTAGCCAGGGTCTGAATATTCATTGGAAAATGAACATAGGTTGAGCTCTGTTAATGCAGTGAAGCTCAGGCACTTGTCTAGACAGATGATGACCTTCCTGTAGATTTAGTTTCTGGACTTCCATAGGGCCTGCCTCATGAGGGGCAGCCTAGTATGTGTGAAATCATGTAATTCCAGCAATGATCCACAGAGCACCTCTCCTTAGAGAAACTCAAATTCTGCTCGGCTTCCCTATTCCAACATGTCTTCTTACAGAATCTGGCCAGGGCCCAGAGGAGCGTGACAGTAAAAAGGGGCTCTGCGATTCCCTGCCCATGATGTGAGCTCATTTGAGAGCTCTGAGGGCACGTGACCCCAGGTCCACACTCCTGCGTGGGAGTTCTCCAAGAAGGGAATCAGATGGCTGTGTGTGTGTGTGTGTGTGTGTGTGTGTGTGTGCGCGCGCGCGCTTTAGGTGGTGAACAGATAGGACTGTGCCCCAGTGCTTAGAATCAGTGCAACCTCGTTTTGTTTACCCAACAGTGCAACCTCACTGTGTCTTCTGGGCTCTCCATGGCACCCCTCCCAGCTCCTTCAGGCAGAATCCTGTCCCACTAACATGGTGTGTACTCAGCGAAACTTCCCTAAGCTCTTCCCATGCAGGGGGTGCTCACATCCCTCTCTGCTTCTGCCAGCCCCCTGCATCTGGACCAAAAAGCCACAGAGGACAGGTGCTGTGGGCCTGAGACAGTCAGTCTCTGGCTCCTCTCCTGTCTCTGCCTCTAAATGTCTGCCCATGCAAGCCTACCAGGGGGCCCTCACGTGCAGACTTCTTCCATCAGCCTCCTCCAGGGCCGCAAGCTATGCCCAAAGTCCCCAGGCCTGGCAGGGGGGCCGTGGCAGCCTCTCCACTCCCTTGAGGTCCTCCCTTTTCTGACACCAGCACTGCTCCCAATGCCCCTCCAGAAAGACAGCGGGGAAGAGAGACTGGTGACCAGGGCATGCCTGGTTTACATTAATGAGATACACCGAGTGTAATCCAGCCATGGATGCAGCCTACAAAAGGAGGCGATCGCGGGCGGCCAGGAGCAGAGCTGCTCAGGTAATTGGTTTATCTATCTGGAAGCAGGGGGAGCAATCTCAGCACAGACAGACTAGCAGTAAAGTCTCTTCCTTAAGGCTATTTCCTTTGTCTTTTCAATTGCTTGCACATCCATGTGAGAGAGGGAGAGAGTGTTAAAGAGAGAGGGAGAGGGAGAAATGTTAATTTGTGAATTAATGGCTTTTCTCAGCGGAATTGTAAATTCAAATGTCACCTCACACGGTGACACCACGGCTGGTCTGCTGAAGAAGCAATGATAAGATCCCCCACCTCCCTCAGTGCCCCTCCCGCCCCAAAGATAGCTGTGGCGTGGAACATGCTACTTTTAATTTGCAATAACAACACAACAGAGGTATGCAGTAATGACTGCCTTCTTCCACCCTCCTCCTGCCTTCCTTCCCCCCAGTCCAGTTGGCTCTCCATTTCATCCCTCCCCACCCTTTTTGCTCTTCTGAAACAACACCTCACCCCACCCTGGCTGCCCCCCTCTCCACCACACCCCAGCCGGGGCCTGATCACATGGGGGTGGGTGCCTTTGGAATTGACGATGCTGTAACCCTCTCTTCTCCTTCAATAATCAGGGAATTAATGACCCTGAAGTTAAAGTGAGGCTGATACCAAGGCCCTACCCAGCGTTGGGAAAAAGCCTTCATTGTTTTCAAGCAGGAGGCGGGCAGCAGTGAGGGAGATTCATGGATGGAGATTGAATATGCAATTTTCTTTCACCTTGCCAAGAGCTGCCCCTGGGCTGTGCCTGGCCTAAATTTTTCCTTTTACCATCTCTGCCTTATCCGGCCCTCCCACCTCCCTTCCATTCTTTCCAGAAAATTACCTTCAAAATTGATTTCCACTTTTACAAACAAATATAATGGGAACACAGGAAAAAACTTGGGCCGTGATGAATTAGGGCTGTCAGGTGCTTCCAGGTCTCCTTTGCTTTTGTTTTACTACCCGATCTGCTCTTTGTTTTTCCAAGGGCTGAAAAAAGTGCCCCCTTCCACTGAGTGCCTGACCCTCCATGCCACGGGGCCTCAGACCCCAAACCCAGCAGTGGCCCACGGTGGAAGCGATCCCTCTTCTGAGACTCTGTTAGCCTCTTGGTTTCCCATTGGAGGCCTGAGCCACCTCCTCCTTTTCTGCTCGCTGGCCCTTAGGAACCCACTCTCTTAATAGTCTCTAACCGCCACCCCGCAGCTATTTCCCCTGACCCCCACACCATGTTCCCTCTGGCCCCCATACCTCTTAAAGTCCAGACCAGATGCAAACCTCCACCTCCTCTAATGTGGGCAGGATCAGTGTATACCTCGACTAGAGCAAATGAGAGACAGACAGACACTGAGAGATCCCGAAAGACAGGCACGTAGAAGACGGGGGCAAGACCCCAAGGTTGGGAGACCAGGCTCCTGTTCAAAGGGCGTGTGAGGGTTCTGAGTGGCAACTTCCACACAGCCTGAGGGTGTAAGGGCTCCCAGTCTCAGTCTCCCTCGCCTTGAGCCCCAGGCCACCTGTGGAGGCAGGTTCAGTACAGCCCATCCGTTTGCCAACAGAATGCAGGGTGATGCCTACAGGTCCCTTTGGGTGGAAGTCTATATACACACCTATGTCTCAGGACCATGGACCCTAACTCAGGCCTGGCTTGAGTTTGCCTTGCTCACGGGCACTGGGGGCATGCACCTGCTCACATCTGATCATTTCTTCAAGCATATACACTGCCTAGAAGACTGCATACCTGACCAATGCAAGGCGTTCCACATCCCCTTTCATCCAAAGATCTCAGAATGGTAGAAAACACACATATACACTCATTTTCATAAACCATGTAAAAAATTACTTATGTGTCCATAAACAAACATACATTTCCCAAGTAAAAAATAAACTTGCACATGGGAGTGGAAATGCACAGCAGTAGACAGAAGGATGCCTCCTTGTTATAGAAGAAGGGGACCTTATATTTATTTACATGCAACCAAAATGCTTATGGATGCTAAGGGACAGCATGTGGCCCGGCTGGATAACTGTAGAGCAAATGAGTAAGCAGAGATGAACAAAGGTCCTCCCAATCACGCATGGGAGGTTGCCATCTCTCCCCCACTGCCCTGGGCCCTCCAGGTTAGCTTATCCCAGCATCAGCTTCCTTTGGCTGCTCTACTTAAAAGGGGCCACCCCAAGATTAGGGAGCCTGTGCCCAAATAAGTTTCTTTCTGACAAAACTTCATTTCCCCTCAAAACATGAACTTGCCAATTAGGCCTTCCTCCTCAGACACACAGGGACCCATCTACCAAGACAGAGTTAGCTCAGCACCCTATATCCATAAGCTTGTGTAGTACTCTCCACAGTCCCCACGAAGTGAGTGCTATGACCATCTCCATTTTTCAGCGAAGACTGAGCTGATGAAGGTTAAGTGACTTGCTCAAGGCACTAGAGTTCGAACCCGGCTATGCCTGATTCCAGAGCCCACACCCTTCCCCACTGGGCCACGCTGCCCATCCATGCCATGCTCCAGGGACTGCCTGCTGGCCTCCAACCCGAATTCTTCTTCCTGGTGGAGGTCTGCAGCCTTCTCTTGCCTGAAACAAGGGCTCCTCGACAGAGTAGGTGCCATTCATTTCCACAGTCTCGTCCCCTTATCTGCTCCAAGTCTAACCTGAGCAATATACTTGGGGACTCCAGGAGAGAGACTAACTGAGGAAATAAACTGCTTCTTCCAGCTATGGCTCCATCCAAAGCAGAAGGGAGCCATTGAAGGCAGGACTCAGCCATTTGCAGCCTTGCAACCTGTCCTGCCTGCAAACGCACAACTGCACCAGTTTGGCACCACTCAACTGCACAACTCATTGTGCACCTAATTAATGGAATGCAAAATCACAGCCCCCTGCAATCTCACACATCAAAGGATGAGACCAACACACCTCCCTCCTGCAGATCAACAGACTCAGACCATATGACTTCATTTGGATTTTTGGACAAGTTATGTAATTGCTCTGTGTACCAATACCACCAATGGGCAGCAGTGACTTGGGCCATGGCCGAAAGCAACTTGGGTGAAGCCAAAGGACTTCGGTTTTTCAGCTTGAAAAAAAAAATACAAGCGTCTCTAGCCTCCAGCCACATAAGCCAGGGCAAGCAACATGTAGGAAAACAGTGCCCCTTCAAAGGAACCAAATACACCCACCCATAATTGTAGCCAAAAAGACATAAAGCTTTTAGCAGGGTACTGAACAGGGGTCTACCCTCTCAGACTGCCTTCCGGGTGCTTCGTGACATAACCTCCCCATTTATCCCTGGTCTGTCTACCTGTCTCATTCTGGAAGCTCCTGGACTCCTGGGAGTTGGGGGTCAAAGCTCCTTGACTAGCACATTTCTCAGAGGAATGTCTGGGGATTTTTCCATCCTTCCAAAGGCCAAGGCATGAGAAGGCCTCTCAAGCAGGCTCACAGTCACTGTCAGTTTCCTTTCTCCCCAGAGTCACAGCTGATCAGCCCTTTACTAATATCCCCACAGATATGATTGCTGCAGATACTAATAACACTGTCCATATTCCGAGTGCCAGTGCCAATAACACTCTGGGTATTATCACTGTGAACACCAATAACTACTGCTGAGATTGTCTCCAACAACGCCAGCACACGCTGCAGTGATTGTCCTCGCTAATGCCCACCACCATGACATTGTTAGAGCTGAAGAATAGGCCGAACAGTACCCAAAGGCAGGAGCGGGAGTGGCTTCCTTGGGGACAGGGAGGCTTACAGCTTGCCCTTGGGGTATGACACTTCTAGGCAGATGCCACAGTACATGGGGCCAAAGGAAAGCCAGCCAGGCAGGGCATCGGGGTTCTCCTGGGGGAGATGTGCCCCTCTATTCCCTCGAGGTCTAGTCCCTGGACACATATGCCTGTTCCCATCCCAGTACCCCTCAGCATCCCAAGCCAGTTTTCTCTTCTGCCTGCAGTGCTGGCCCAGTGGCTAAAGGACACACCTGGGTGTCTGTGCAGCCTATGCCCGAGGCTGCCTCCTGCGACTGGCCTGCCAGCTGCTGTGCTACCTTGGCCTGACTGCAGAGTTGGGCTACATCATCTTGACACATAATTATCTCCCCTATTCTTAATCATCTGAGCTGCTCCCTAATGCAAACTGGGCCTGGCTGCTTGGAGGCACCCAGAGTGGGGGATGGGGAGGATGGGTTGTGAAAAGTCTGCCTTTGCTCTTGCCTTTCGTTTCCTCTCCCTTCCCACCTGGGCCTAATGGGCCAAGTGCATGTGGTGTGGGTATGAGGGGTCAGAGAGAACAGGCCTCCCTCACAGGCTCTGGCCTCTACTAGACAGCGCCACCTGGTCTCTGGTTGGTCAATAGGAGGGGAGTGCAAGGCAAGAGAACCTTCCCACCTCCAAAAATGAACTAAGGCCGCTGATCCTTCATGCTACCTGGCTAGGCCCAGGAAGTAAGTATTTAAGCAGTAAGAGGAAACTTAAGAGGCCCCCACTGTCCCTCACGTAGAAGACTTCAACTGCTTCCTGAGACATCTCCTCACGGCCATCATTGTCACCTGCTAGCGGATGATCTTTCCAAACCCAGCCCTGTCCTTCTCCCTTCCTGCTCATTTTCAATGGCTACTCATGCCTGCAGAAAACAGTCCAAATTCTTTACATGGTCTGGTCTTGACCTGATCTCCTGTGACCCAAACCCATCTACTTAGCCTGACTTCCCACGACCTCCCCTCCTGCCCTTTCATCCCAGCCAAAGTGACCCTGCATTTTCTCACCACAGTACCTTCTGGCCATCAGGCTGGGGCTATCAGCTAGAACTTCACACCACTATTGTTTTTGAACATGCCCCTCATGCATCCCTCAGGCCCCTCCTCACAGAGCAGCACTTCCTGGGGTTTCTTCCCGCCCATAAGCTCTCATGGTCCACAGCCCAGACCTCCACCACAACACAGGTATCCGATGGGCCTTTCCACTCTCTGGACTCACATGTTTTATACACCCCACTAGAGTGTAAGCTCCTTAAGGACAAGAATCATATCTTGTTCTGCTTTGGGATCCAATAGCACCAAGTCTTTTTTGAGACTGACGTCTAGGAACGGTTCACTGAATTGAATTGACTTGAAACAATGAATGTGGTCAATTGCTCGGAGAGGAAAGCACTCTGTTCTGGGCCAGTTGGGCCCAACCTGGGGTGGCCACAGCCTCATGTCAGTGTCTCCCCACGCCCAGCCTCCTATCATGGCACACAGTAGCACAGGAAGCAGAGGGCACTCTTGTCCTTAACCTCAGACCAATAGGGGAAGGTAGAAAGGGGGTCCTGTGGCCTCCCTTGGCCCCCTGGATGTCTCCCACTCTAAAAAATGCAGGGGCTGGTAGTTAAAGGAGAAACCCTTAGGATTTGAGGCCGAGTCTTCCAAACCACTCAGGGTGACAGGAAGCTTGGCTAAGGCCTGAGTATGGGAACCCCCCAGGGAGAATTGGGACTTAGGGTCTTTCAATCAGCCTCCCCCTGCCCATCAGGGGCTGCCGCCAAAATAACCACAATGAAATTTAGTGAGTGGCAAAGGCCGTGGCAGCCAAATGGGTTTGGATATTTTGGAAGAAGGAGAAATAGAGCCAGACAAGCTGTTTCCCTGTGAAACGAGGCCATTAGGGCTTCTGGAAGGAGGCCAGCACCAGGTCATCACTGTCCTGCCAGGCCCAGGCCTCTCCTACACTCTGTCCCTTCCGCTGGAGGCCAGGGCTTTCACACTCTCTTTTCCCTCAGCTTGGGCCCAGGGAATCTCAGCTTTGACCCTTTTCTCTGTTCCTTACCCTCTAAAGCTGCTCCAATCAAGGGCTTATCTAGGCTTGGGATGATCATATAATTTATTATCTAAACAGGACATTTTTGAGAGAAAAGGGAGCTGCTGATCGGCCAAGGTGCAGAGACAAAAGGCATAAATTGGGACCGTCTGGGCTAATGGGATATATGGTCACTCCCTTTATGCTTATCTTTAGAGGATTCTATTTCATAGTATATACCCTTAAAGTCATACACCCTTCCTAAACTAGGCAATTCCTGCTTCCCCAGCAGAGACCATGAGATTGGGGCAAGAAGCAGGCTCCAGGCACTGGTGTCTCTGTTGGTCTGGGCCTGCCAGCCCTATGCCCTGGCCTCATGCATCAGAAGAGAACCAGATGGTCACCAAGGGACCTCTAATGTCACACATTTGAAAAACACCTTCTCCCAAGCTCATCACCACCACTCTCTCCTCTTACTTCCTTTCCCCTTTCCTCCCCGGCTCACTCCCTCTCTCTTTACCTCCCTGCCTAACAGCTGGCTGCACATCAAGGTATTACACGAAATAAGGGGAGGCCAGATAGGAGCCTGAGTGGTGTCTCCTCCCATGGGGGAGCACGGAGAGGGGCCCATGTCCAGTTCCCTGAGTGGTTTTAATGGGGCCAGTGTCCACGTGTCACAGAGAAAGGACACCAGGGTCAGCTGCATGTGACATCACTCCCCTTATTTCCTGATGGGTTGGGATCAGGTAAGGACGAGGCAGGTTGGCCTTTCATCCTCAGGTCAGAGACCAGATGTCCCCCAACCTCCAAAACCTTCCCAAGGTACATGGTTCATGCTTCTCTTCCTGGCATCCCACAGGGATATTGGGGGTGAGTCCCAGTGGAAGGTAAGGCGGTCGGGGCTAACTGAGCAGATGGTGAAGCTGATGGCCCCACCAGCAGCCTGCCTCCCTCTCTCCAGGAGCCAGCAGGGCAGTGGGGGGACCTGGGCTTTGCAACTAAAACTGATCTCATAGCAGAGCAGCTGCGAGGCCAGGCCGAAACCGGAGCTCTGAGTCCAAGGACAAAGCATGCACAGGGAAGCCAAGCGTCTTCCCTCCTCCCTACCTTCATCACGTTTCCTCTTCTCGCCATTGGAGCGAGGGATCCCCAATATCCCGTTGATGGAGTAGGATCCCACTGGATCATTGGAGGCGCTGGAAACAGGCGGGGAGGCCGTACTGGGAACTGGATGAGAGTAGGGAGGAAACGCATTCAGGACAGCAGTTGTGATTGCAGGCCAAAGCCCCAAGGCTGGGGGCAGAGACAAGCAGAGGAAGTAAGGAGGGATGGGGAGCTCTTATTCCTCTTCCTCCTCTGAGGTCTAAGGGAGAAGACATTGCTACATACAAAGTGGGCTATTCACGTCTGTCCTGCCCTGGGCTGAGTGGTGACCAGTCAACCCCAGGCCTTCTTGGAAGGCCTATAGATTTCACTGGAGCCCCTGAAGGTGGATGGAAACACCAAAGCTGACTCAATCTAGAAAGTGACTCAGCAGTCCTGTAGCAACTACAGCTCCTAGGACGCCTCCTTGCACAGCTCGTCTAATCCCTCGGGCCGAAAAAAATCCTTCTAAACAAACCCCTGCTCACTATTTCTCAGTCTCTTGGGCTGAGTCTTAACCAGTCCTGATTTAGAGTCTGTTGGCTTCTAAGATCTGTCTCTGAATCTCTGGGAGACACAAGAATGGTCCTGATATTCCCCAGGAGTGCATAGCTCCTCTTTCCCAGTTGCTTCTGGTCTTGAAATCACTTGAGAAGTTCCTAATTTCCCCCTCAAGGCACAGACTAGTGAACACATTCACTCCGTAATGATCTACTCAGGTACAGCCCGGCCCAGTCCTCCTTCCCAGCACGCACTGTAACACAGGCCTAGTAAACAACAGACCCTGCCAAGTCCAGGAGGGTTGGGAATGGCAATTCTACTTCCTGCTGGTCAAACGAGAAGGGGACAGCTGCCAAGAGGGGCAGCAGGAAAAGTCTGACCACATCCCAGGCCCTTAAGCCCTAGTACCAAACATCCTTGGGCCAAAGGGAAGACTATGTGTGGGGGAGCAGGTGGAGGAACGTTCGCAGGTATTCTGGGAGGCCTGGGTCATGTCTCTGGAAGGCCATGAGCAAGGATAAATAAGGAAGTTGGAGAGAGGCTGAAAGTTACCAAGTGGATGAGAAAGAGACAAAAAGATCAAGAGAGACAGGCCAAGAAGAAAGAGGCCGTGAAGAGGGAGGGAAAGAGACAGAGGAACAGACCCAGAGTCATACATACATAGAGGAGAAAAGAGAAAGGGAAAGGCAGAGAGAGGAGAGAAGAGAAGAGAAGAAGGGAAACGAGGGGAGAAGAGAGAATGATAATTTAAAAAATTTTTTTAAATGGAGTAAGAAAGTAGATATGAAATAAAGAGGGCTAGGTAGGGAGACAGGATCAGATAAAAACAAAAGATAGAGAAGAGAGAGAAGGGAAGGAGAAGAAAAGCTAAAGGGTAAATATTGATGGGAGATGGAGGGAGGGAGGGAGAGAGGGAGAGGGAGAGAAGGAGAAAGGGAGAGAGGGAGAGAGGGAAGGAGAGAGAGGGAGGGAGAGAGAGAGAGATCCTAGTGAGCTAGTCTCTCTCAAGGAGACCCCTGAGCCTCTAGGAGCTCAGAGAGAACACAAATTGGGAAAAACTTCATGGGGGTGAGGCTACATATCTGGTTCTCCCAGGTGGGATCCCACTTCCCCCTTTCCTGAGCCCTCTTACCAATGGTGTGGCCAGGGGCAGTCACTCCGGTCCCAGCCCCATCAGGTGTTGGGTGAAAAGGCTGCTGAACTTTGGTCCGGATGATCCTGCAACAGCATCACAACAGCATCACACATCACATGTCCCCTCCTGCCCCACCAACTCCAGCCCAGGCCAGCCGAGTTCTCCCCAGCCCCTCAGCAACTTCCTCATCCAAATGTTCCCTGTACCCCTGCCCTCACTGACTGCTTCAAGTTACTAGCTTTCCCTCCTGTTTGCTCTGCAGATCAAACCTAGTGCAGCTCTGGGCAGAGGCCGTCTGCATTCTGTCCTGCCGTGTGCATCATCCGAATTGCAGTTTGATTTTTTTAAATTAGTTTCCGGTGTTCAATTAACATGATACACCACATTAACAAAATGAAAAATAAAAAATCATATGGTCATATCAATCAGATATAGAAAAAGCATTTGACAAAATCCAGCAGCCATTTATGATAAAAACTCTTAGCAAAGTGGTGATAGAGGGATCAAATCTCAATATAATAAAGGCCATATATGATAAACCCACAGCTAACATCATACTCAATGGGGAAAAAACTAAAAGCTTTCCCCTTAAGATCAGGAACAAAACAAGGATGCCCACTTTCACCACTTTCATTCAACATAGTTCTGGAAGTTCTAACCACAGCAATCAGACAAGAAAAAGAAATAAAAGGCATCCAAACTGGAAAGGAGGAAGAAAAATTGTCATTATATGCAGATGACATGATACTATATAGAGAAAACCCCAAAGACTCCACCAAAAAACTATTAGAACTGATCAATGAATTTAGTAAAGTAGCAGGATACAAAATTAATATTCAGAAATCAGTTGCATTTGTACACGCCAATAACAGACTATCAGAAAGAGAAGTTAAGAACACAATCCCATTTACAATTGCTTCAAAAGCAGCTTGATTTTTGATAGCAAGGATTGGGGCAGCAGAGTGAAGGGAGCACAAGATCCTTCCCCTTTCTAGGGGTGGGGACTGCCCTGGTGGCTTGCTGTCCACCCCTTCTCCTCAACCACACATAAATCTCTTCGTGGGAACAAGACTCCCTGGGTCTAGAGATCATTTTGGTGCTGCTTTTCTATTGGGACTATATCACACACCTCCAGAGTCAAGGGAGCGGGCGAGATTTCCCTATTTCCTAAGCTAAGGAGAAGTAGCCAGGGAGGGCTGGGTTACAGGTGATCCTTTTGTCCCTAGGATTCCAACACAGCAAGACATGGTGCCTTTGCCAGATGTCAGGCCCTGAGCAACTTCTTGAGTCTACTACGCACTGCTTTCAAACAAGTCAAAGCCCGACCTTTGTCCAGCTCACTGGCGCAAGAGCCTCTTTTTCTAAGGTCCTACCTGAATCACAGCTTCTTTACCAGCCTAGTTGAAAAGCCTAGTGTGTCCCCCACTATGCACTAGGGTGAGGGGAGTCAAACATCCCAGGGTTGAGTATGAGCTGGCTTGCCAGTGATCCAAAGAAACCAAGGCTCATTGATACAAAAGATCCACTCAGGGGCCAGGACCAGGCAACACTCCCCTCCACCCACTGTACAAGTTAGATGTCCTTAGAAGTAATTTTTTTCCAACAGCATTGCTCCTCCCTGCAGAGAGGTGTGTGAGCCAAGCTCAACTCAACCAGCAGTTGAGTCACAAGCCATGAGACTTTGCTCTAACCAGCTTTTACTGAGCACTGTCAGGCAACAGAAATAAGGCCCCTGCCTCACACTGCTGGAAATAAAGCTGGGGAGGGAAGACACATACTCAGAGAAAGCTAAGTAACCCCAAGGGGACCAGGCCATGACTGTCAGAAGAAGGCAAAGGAGGAATCATTCGCCTTGCAGGTAAGGAAATTGGGAGAGAAGTCACTGAGGAAGAGGAAGTTGATATAGCTCTTCAAAGCAGAGTAAAACTGAACATATAGATACACATAGGAGCCAGAGGCATGGAGGATGGTGGACAGGGCACTGGGATATGTGGCAGGGTCCCTGAGTCCTGCTTCTGACTCTGCCATTAAGCGGCCACATAGCTTTGGGCTCATCATTCTCCTTCTCTGGGCCTCGGTTTCTTCAGTTGTAACGTAAAGAGGTCAGATTACAGAATCTCTTAAGATCTTTTTCCCCAGTAAATAATATGATTCTAAGAAGGACAAAGAAGTGGAGGCAGGGCATTCTAAACAAGTACTGGAGGAAGGTAGAAGCAAAGGATGGAAGCTGAACAGACATGATGCTTTAGGGGCTCATGCCCAGACCAGTCAGCTAAAACAGGAGAGGTACGTAGGAAGTGAGAGGAAAGAAGCCTGCAAACTTGAAAGCGATGATGATAATCGTGACTTTTTTCATTTATTGAGCATCTATTATGTGCCAAATTATATGCAGTTTATACAGCTTACATATATGACTGTTGATTTTCACAGCCACCTCCAAAGTAGATACTATTATCCTCATTTTGCAAATTGAAAACTGAAGTTGACAGAGGTTAAGTGGCTTACTTGAGATTATACTGCAAGTTAGGGCAGATTTAGTATTCAATCTCTAAAATGTGTGCTTTTTGTTATTTTGTCACACTTCCCCCAACATATGAGGACCAGGCTTAGAGGGTCTCAAGCCACGAGCAATTTCTAACCTAGAGGGGACATGTACAAACTGATTCTGGTAAACCAATACACATAGGCACAAGGCAATAACAGGGTTGGTCTCAGGAAAGAAAGGAAAGAATTAGCAAGACATTGTGAAAGCAGAATGACCAGGTTTTTTTGGCAACTAACTTGAGTCAACCGTGGCTCTAAAACCCCAAATCTGTGTAACCAGCAAGCTGGTGGTTGGTACCACCATCAGGAAGAGGGATGCAGGGAGGTGACTGGTTTTGGAGGGAGGAGACTGGTTTTGGAGGGAGGTGACTGGTTTTGGAGGGAGGAGACTGGTTTTGGAGGGAGGTGACTGGTTTTGGAGGGAGGTGGCAGTGTTGGTCCTAGATATGCAGCATTTGAGGTTGTAGAGGAGTGCTCAGGTGGACATGCACCAGCTGGCACAGCAGGTACGGATTTAGGGGACTGTCAAGGAAAGGAGTGTTGAAAAGTTCAAGAGGCCTGGGGTGTGGGTATCAGAGGACACCCACTTTCAGAGACTGGGGAGAAGAGCCTGACCTTGTAGCGGGGTCAGAACTGGTCACACAGGAAACGGCAGAACCAGGAGCAGGCACTTCCACCTAACTCAACAGAGAGCAATGTTCCCAGAAGGAGAACATAATCCACAGAGTCGACAGCGACGTAAGTATTGAAGGAAATTGGGAATAAAATATGCTTCCTTGGGGAGAGCAGTATCCACAAAGGGAAGGAGCCAGACGTAAAAAGGTAAGGAAATAATACATAGGAGGAAAGAGAGGCAGTAAAAGTTAGACGAGTGTCTTTAGAAGTTTGTAAAAAAGGAAAAAAGAGAAAAGTTTGGAAGCCAGGGGAGGGAACTGGCAGCTGAGTGGATGGAAAGCTTTTTAAGGTAGAAGACCTGGATGAGATTGTAGGCTGAGGAGGAAGAAGCAGTGAAGGGGTAGTTTCCTGAGAGAATGTGGGTGACTGTGAGCGCAAGGGGAAACGAAGAGAGGATGGGATGGAGGCCACACGGAGGAGTTGGGGGGAGGTGGCCAAATGCTTTGAAAAGGAGATTTTATGGCTTTTTTCTCTCAGCAGAGCAGAAGTCAAGGTAATCTCCCAAGCGCTGGGGAGGGGCAGAGGTTTGGAGCATAGTCACAATAGAGAAGTGTGGCCAGTAGCTAAGGATGGTGCAGACGGGTCTACAGGAAAAGTCTAGAAGGAGGCTGAGCAGTTCAGAGCAGCTGCTCCTCATTCATTGCAACCAAAGCTTCTGGGATCTCACTGACAGGCGGGTGGCTCTGGCTTGAGGGCTGGTGGGCTCTGGATTAAGGAAGCCCCAGAGCTGGGGCTGGGTGAGACAGATAACTGGATGGCCTTGTGGAGTTTCGGTCTTTGTTACCCAGAGCCTTTGACCCTTAGGGCACCAGTGCAGATTTAGCTGAGGCAGCCAGTGATGGAAAATCACTACTCCCTGACAGCGGCTTGGTGGTGCCTAGGAGAGGAGCTGGGCAGGGTGCCTGCGGCGAGTTACAAATGCTCTTGGTGTCCATCCATGCCCCCCGGGCGGCGGGCACTTGCCAGTCCCCAGAGCTGATCTCAGGGAATTTAAGAACTGAGACTGTGGAAACCTGATGGTCATCCATTGCCTTCCTGCACCCTGTATACGGAAAGACTGTCCTGTCAGGGTGCCTGCTCCTGGCTCCTCTTTCCAGCATACTTTCTTCCACAGGGATGTTCTTTGCTCCCCAACTTTCCTGGGAACCTCCAGAGCTTTGCTGGGCCCAGCATGGGGACTTCAGGTACTTAACATCTCCCACACTGACAAGGGTGTGGCTAAAGCCAAGGGAAAAGGGCTCAGTCTGAGTCCCAGCTCTGTTCCTTATTACCTGTGAAACCTTGGCAGTTCCTTATTCCCTCATCTGTACAAAAAGATAATACTACTACTTACTTCCTGGGACTGTTGCGAGGATCAAATAGAATAATCCATGTAAAATGATTAGTATGACTCTTGGCTCAATAAATGCTAGCTATAATAATAACAACTAGTAGTCATATTATTCCTATGGGCGACCCCTAGGCCTGGCTGCTTTCTATGTAGGGGCTAAGCCAGGCACAGCCAGGAGGCCTGTCATCCCAACATGCCCTAACCTGGTCATGCAGCTGCTATGGAAACCCTGGGACAAGCACTGAGAAAACAAGACACAGCAGCAGCAGGTGTCACAGCCTAACCCCAAAAGAGATTGCATCAGAGAAGACAGACTGGGGGTCCCCTTCCCGAGGGCACTGGGAAGAATCTGTAGACAGTATGAGGACCCAAGAGATGCCAGGGGGTGTGGCAGAGCATTAGAGTAAAGGATGACAAGGCAGGTGGAGTCACTCCCTCGTTGGTTCAATTCCCTGGAGGCCTTCACCTCCCACCAAGCTGGAGAAGAAAACAGTCTTGTGGCTCTGTGAGTTAGAACGAGAGCATGTAATGAGT